AAAAAAATATGTGTGGTTGTGTGGGCTATTTTTTTAATTTTTTTTTTTTTTTTTTGTTTGGGGGGGGGGGGGGGTTTATCAAAAGATGTTTCTCAAACGTTAACTTGCCATTGTTAAGCATATTAAATTTATTATTTTTGTGATTTTTCTTGCTGCGTCAGTCAGTCAGTCAAACACAGAGCAGACACGGAGCAGTGCGCCTTCAAAACTCTGTCAGAGGATGTGTCTGCGTTTACCTTGTACACAATGAGATCATGCTCTCCATCCCTCAGAGTGGTCCCATCATACCGCATGAGTTTAACGAAAGACAAGGCAAAGATTTTCTCTGATTTATCTTTGGCTGTGGGAGGATAAAAAAACAAAACAAAAACAAAACACATGAATAAACAGAAATCTGACAGCCTGCAGGAGATATTGATGATGTTGCACCAAAGAGCTTGTGTTTCTCGTGCAAATTTGCAAACTGACACACCAAAATCTCAGACATGTGCATACAATCTGTTTATATGAATGTGTGCTTAGTTGAGAAAGCTTATGCAAAGCAGATTCCACAGCAGAAAACTATTAGGGACTGCTGATTTTACAAGCAATAAACAAGCCAGCAGACCGACAAAAGAGATCGTCTCAGCACCACAGTACCCCACTCCACTCTTGAGTGGGCAAAATAAGTTGCTATTCAAACTTTTTCCATGTCTTAGCTGATCCTACACTAAGTGTCTTTGCACAAACTGTTTGTTTTTCCCCCCTGAAAAAATAAAACTAGTCAGACACACAGAGAATGTATTAGTATGGGTTGCGCTTGGCAGCAAAAAAGACTGGCAGATGCTAATTCAAGCTAAAACAAACATTCAGCCTCTGCTTGACAATAAGCTGCAAAAAAAAAAAAAAAAAAAAAAAAAAGAAAGAACATGAAACAACATCAGAGAAAAACAGTTTGGGTGGTTTTCTTGTTAGTGTCCTAACAGCTAATAGCGAGTGAGAGAAACACCTGCAAGCAGCTCGAGTTATCCCACTAGAATGAAGAAAAGGTGAAAACTCCTCTCACACACACCAGTGTGCTGCGCGCTGCACAAACAAGGAAGAGAATTATGATTTTGTCCTCTAACCAAGCGTTTGGATAGAACCACATTTCATCACGGTGAATCAACAAGCTCAAATTTACTCGCAGAGAGGCGCGATTCATCAAAATATACGTCGCATTCTATCTGCATAAATCCCTTCATTGGTTTTGCCGCCTGCATCTCCAGCTATGAATAATCGGCTGGCCAGTGACGAGCCAGTGGAGGGAAAAAAACGCCGTGTGGATGCCGCCCAGTATTACCTGATGTACAGGTACGTGCAGAAGTACTGGCACTTTACGGGCTTTCCCACGCTTTACAACTACAACAAAGTGACAGACCTGCACAAAGCTGTGCATACTTGGGAAGCTTGCATGGTTTTCAATCTCCTACATTTAAAAACCTCAAAAGTTTGTTGTCTGATTGTAGAACAACCATTCACGGCGCTTACAGTTGCAGGTTTCTCTGGGTAAATCGTAGACTGAAACTCTTGCTCGTTCTTCTTCCCACATCATCTCAAGCTGTTTACGGATGTAGAGCGCCCGTAAACGTCACCGTTTAGGTTTTGTCGCAGATTCTCAACTGGATTTAGGTCTGAACTTTGACTGGAACATTTTAATGTAAATTTGATTTAATCAAAACGAGGAGTGGGAAACCCGCAACTCTACAGCTGCGCGAGGCTTCCTAGGGCTTCACAAAACCCTCTATTTTTGGACTCTATTTCTTTCACTTTCTTTCCACTTCACGTTCACACCTGCACCTTTGTGCGAGTGTATCAATGACACGAAGTCCCCATAAAGTTCACTTTTCTCCCATGCGGGCGGCGCAATGCATTTTAATGACAGATGAAAAACGAGTGAAAAGATGGCAGCCGTGTTCTGCGGCGGAGGCGTGGCTTGTGGTGGCTTCCGTGTGTCTGATGAGGCCCGACAATGTTACAGCGGTAGTCCGAGGCGCTGTGTGAGAGCTGGCCTTATTCTCAACAGAGAGCGGACTCAGAATAGAGAGCGCATGAACTCCACTAGTGGCCTTGATGAACAGCTCTGTCACTCTGCGTTCCCACAAAATGCTCAGCACTTGCTAGGAGCAGAGCAGGGGAAGCAGGAAGGACACGACAGGACAGCAGAGGCACACATTTCTAAGTGCTGGCAGACCATCTCTGTGCTTCTTATCTTCAGTACGGAAAAATGAACTTTTCCCATAAGAAAACGTTGCATATATCTAACGCTAATGTAGACTCTGCATTATGTCTCAAAGGTTCTGAGTGAGATACTGAAGAGTACGAAGAATAAAGTCTGTTTGGCCGTAAAACCACAAGTGAATGTAAAGTATTTAAAGGTTTTTATATAAAAACAATGAAGTATCCTACGTTCAAAGTTGTGGAAGTATAAAAAAAAAATCTGCTTAAGATAAACTAAACTGAAAGCAATAGAATGTGAATATTTCAATATATTTGGAGATAAACTTTATCTAAATGCAACATTTAAAGTTAAGACAGTCCACACATTTCAGAAAAAATAAAGTTCATGCAGTGCCTTTCAGAAGTATTCATACTCTTCACATAACAACCAGAAAGAAAAAAGGTAATTTGTTGGGATTTTGTGCGATAGACCAAGTGGAGGAAAAATGATGCATGTTTTTCAAAATCTTGCAAATAAAAATCTGAAAAGCACAGTGGTGCGTATTCGTATTCAGCCCCTGAGTCAATACTTGCCGCAATTACAGCAGAAACTGTTTAGGGATATGAATATTTTATTTTGTGGAGACTGAGATTTTCGCAGTGGGGATTTTGTGCTATGGGTCTTCTGTCTGAACATATCAGCTTTGGTCTGATGTGACCTCACTACCTTCTTCCACATGAAAGTCTTGAGGCAAACCAGGAAACTGGCCTGGATGCCACTCTTTCGCAAAGAACAGATCAGTGAAGAGGCTAAGTAATGCTTACGCTGTCGGCAGATTACTCAACCAGAGCTGCAAATCTCTGCAGCTCCTCCAGAGGTAGCATTGGGTTCTCAGCTGCTTCTAATGCATTTCTTGCCCAGTTAGTTTCGATGAACAATAATTTATTGGTTTCAAGTTGTCACAAACTCTTAAATGTTAGATGATAACCTGAAAAGGGCTGTATGGCATGTTCAAAGCTTTATAACCTTACCTTGTCTTACAACTTCATAATTTTAAACCTGACCTTTCTGATCACTAAAATCTGGATTTATAATGGGATTAAATTACGTCAGGTAGAGTTAATTTACCACTTAGTTTTCTTCTCATAGAAATTTGGTATATTGGATTTTATTTGGGAGTATTAGAGAAAAGTGGACTTAATAAAAAGCATGCCACACTTTTCAGGTCTGTCTTAGCCACCTTATGGCCTGCTTGCATTTACTGTAAATGCTAAAGTAACATATGTGACGTGTTATATGTTTAATATTTCAATGTCTGCACACTGTAAAAGCAAAAAAGTGGCAGATGAATTAAAATAAGCAATATCTGAATTTAAAAAGAATCCAGCTGTTGCACCGTCTCCCAACGCGCATCTGTTGTGAGCTCTCAGTGAGAACTGGAAGTTTAGCAGCATTAGTATGCCTCTGCAGTCCCCGAGTAACTTGAGGAGAGTTTCTAAAGTAACCGTTACAGACAGATAGCAGCAAATCACAGACTTTGAAAAGCAAGCCTCCTAACAGCACTAGTCCCCACAGAACCAAGGTGTGCATGACAAGAAGGCTCTCCAAGTGGATTAGCTGCCAGCACAGAGCTCCGAGACCTGGCAATTTCCTCCAAAGCACCTGCGTGCAGGTGAGAAGCAAACACAGCGAGGGGATTTTGGAAATGGATGATGACACCAGCTGAAGATTAGGGGATGGGTACCACTTCCCTAAGTCTCTTCTTACTCCTCAAAAGCCTTTTCTGGTGTCAGAGGGAAGACCTTTTCCATTTGGAAGATAAATGAAGCAGCGTGTCTACTGCCTGCCCTTTACACTCCTAAAATAAAAAAAGATGTGAAAAAAAAATGAAATACAACAGTAGTTGCATTCAACTGTACACCGGCCTCAATAAATAAAGCCCCGCTAGGCGTTTTCACATCCCAGCTGTAGCCTCTGACAACCCATTCCACGGCGCTGCTTTATGCAGAGGCAAACTACAACTTCTGATTAATGTGACAAAGGGTAAGCAGCGAAGTATTTATCATTGTGCAATGCCTCTGCTGGAGCCGCATGTCTTCCATTAGGTGTGTTGTAAGCAGATTAGCAGCCCATTGTACACCTGGTCATCTGAAATATGCATTTTTCCAGTAGTTGAGATTTATACTCACAATCCTGCGATGAGCGATGGCGGAAGGTGAACCGCAGATGGCTTCGGTTTACGTCTTCGATGGGGATCGCAACCTGCGGTGAAGAACAGGACAGGAGGCTGGGGACTTTGGTACGCATGAGAACACGTATTTGTGTTTTTCACAAAGTGTTCCGCATTCCTCTGTACTAAATTTTGTTTTAGTTTTCTTTGGGACGAATGGATGATTTAGGAAGACCCACCTTTATCGTTTCAAACCACCTCGGCTGCTTTACTTGGTAGTAGACGACAGACTTGTACTCATTGATCCCTTCATCTCCAGCGCCGGGAAAGATCACATTCTAGAGAGCAAATAATACATATGTTTAAATAGAAATGATCTTACAGAGCCTACAAAATAGTATTCGCCTCTTTTTCACTCCTTTTAAATATCGGCAACAAAATCAGATTTTTTTGACAAAGAAATTGTGCAAAAACCTTTAATGTCAAACAATTTTTACTGAACAATGAAAAGGATAAAATATCCAACGGGGTTAGTACTTTTCATAAGCAGTTAGTATAGTTAAGTATAGTTGATTAATTGATCTACTATAACTGGGCTGAAACATTTCCACACTGGCTCCCTCCTTGTGGAAAATTGACTACCTCTTATTTCATAAAGTGCACTCCCTCAAGCAGAAAGCCTTAATCTAACAGAATGGCCTTTAAAAGTCTGGATGTACTTTATGCATGAGTGCCTGTGTGGTAGCTGCCAATCTCATGACAGTACTGTGGAAGAAATAAATTAGAAATGAATTATTAAAAAAAAAAAAAAAGAGAAAGAGCTGCTAGCGCTCCCGTGCAGCGAAACTTTAAGAGACGGTGGGCACAGAAAAACAACAGACCAGCTGCAGCAGATGGACCACTCTTTAAAACCGCTCCTTCCTACTGGGTGCTCTTCAGTTTTTACAACAGGTCAGGCTGTGGAGGGGAAAAGAAAACTACAAGCCCCGGTAGGGAAGTTGGTATGAAGGATGGAGTGACAGCGGGAGGCAGACATGCCTTGTTTTCCATCCATCTGTTGCCAGCCTACCTCTTTCCTCCCAGCTGACTCCCCAGGCCTGCTAGTGTAACACTGCTGAAGTACTCCTACACTAATGCTTTCTGACAGCCGGCAATTATGAGGAATAACAGACCCCGTGTCCCCCAGCTGTGCTGAGCAAATACAGGGGAGGTGGGGTCAGGTGCTATATCTCTCAAATCTCCCCCTTCACTAAGTGGCCAGGGTTCCTGACAGCATCATATCTTAGAGAAGTGGCTGCTGAAACTGGAGGTGTGCTCATAAGTCAAGGTGTCACTGGCCAGTCCTGCATGTCACAAACCCTTTCAGAAAGAGAGGAAGAATGACGTTGTCCAGAGGCCGGAAGAGACGCGCAGAAAGGAAAGGACGGAGGAATATGAAAGGATGAGGCGTATGCGGAGAATCGCAAAGAAAGCAACAAATACCAAAACCGCAGTGCCCAAACGCAGACACAAGATTATTAACCAAATGATTCAAAATGTACGTCAGGTGCTCCCAATTGATCAAGTCTTTTCCATACTGTTGCATAAATCTTCAAGTTATTAACTACATCATAGCTGTTTGTTATACACGCCACGTTAGGGCTACAAAACTCAAAACAAGTCTTCGGCAGACTGGCCTAACGTGGGCATGCGAGAGTATCAGACACCTAGTAATGCTATGTTGAGTGTTGTTACTCATCATTATTATTCTAAAAAGCAGTCTAGCAATGAAGACTGTTGTGTAATAACCTTCGTTTATGCTATTATACCACAGGTATATACAAAACGATTCTTAAACCACAAAGAGAGTGATGAACCAATATCTTTAGAGCGTCTGCTTTTAAGACTAATTACAACGAATTCAACTACAACTGGAAAAAAATCTAACAAAAATGTTACATCTGTGTTCTTTGGTAATAGGATTATTATATATATTAACTAATTAGTCAAGTGATGCACTTCTATAAATGACAAAGGTCACCAATTTGCACCAAAATCGAGGTTAATTCTAAGCGTCATCAGCAGCAATCCTTTTACTTCCTCAGCATGGTGCGGCAAATCATTGAAAAGGCTTCTCAATTTAAAACTAATGAGTATAATAGGTGCAGCCAAGGGTAACAAAGCTCTCTCCTGATTCAGTGTTTGCAGGAAGACTCATTAAAACCAGAAATCTGTCATCTCAAATTACTTAAATTCACTCCTACTCCAATTGCACCAGTGCTTACATCACTGTAATAGGGCACGGTACCTTAATTACATTTAAATAAGATTAGTTTAAGCCGCAGCTCCAAATATTACAAAAACATTAAAGAACTTGGATTCTTTGGAACAAGGAATGATGGCTTACAGCCCCTTCCGCTTATTGGTGTTCCTCACAGCATATTCTAACACTGACAACATTCAAATTCATCCAGTTGAGCACATTTATTTAAACGTATAGGATTAAATCCCGTGTTGTGTAGCATTTGTTTCCCTACGACACTTTAAAAAATGATTTATACCCCCATGGGAATATGTTGCTTTTGCTTTGGATTTGTGATTACATTCTTATGCCTCACAAATATTTTTTTCATTTGAAGATCATAAAATACCATTTAAAGTTAGGCTCCTCTTAAATGTCAGCAAACGCTCCAGTTATGGACTCGCTGCCCCACTTCCTCCCACTGGTTTCTCATATGCAGCTGCTCTCCGCGCATCCTCCGTTAATTTGTGGATGATGCAGCGTAAGAAGCGGAGTCAACAGGGATCGTCGGTAATTAAACATGAGAGAAAAGAGGTCACTGCGACTTCAGATGAAACAAAACCTTCATTAGGACATCAGACCCTGCTGCGTTTGCACAACATGTAAAAGGCAGAGAGAAAAACGGAGACACGCAAGTTTGTCTTACGTACTGCAACTTGGCAAATTGACAGCCGCTGTTGTACATTTATTTTGTTTGTTTTAGCTTCATTTGTAGACAGCAAATGCAAGTTAGACACCTGTGATATGACGCTGCACACCGATTCCATATTTCACTACGAAAGAAGAAGAGCAAGTAATATAGTTCATAGCTGATATATCGCTGATTTATCAGATTGTACCCTCCAGCATCATAATAAGTTTCTTTATTTTTTTTCCAGAGTTGGCTGCAGTTTTTCAAGAGTGCATATTTAATTTAAAAAATGTTTTCAAAACATCCAGAATATATAAACTTGACTAGCAAAAGGTCAATTTTAACCCAGCAAAAAAAAAAAAAAAATCTAACTAAATAAAACGCCAAAGCTAAACAGTTTCTCTCTAAAAGCTTGATTCTGCAAGTGGCTGAGGATGGCGGTGAGGTGAATTTTAAGCAACTCAATCAAACCCAATGACACTGCATTTCATCATGGCCAACAGGCAACAGAGGCGGGCAGTATGGGCTGTTCATCACATTTATAGGATGAACTTTATGGGAGGCCAGTTAGGCAGACTAATGTGGTGAGTGAGATTAAAAAAAAAAAAAAAAGAAAAAAAAAGTCTGCTAAATCAGAATATGTTTGAGAGAGCAACTGGTTATAGAGTTCAACCCAAAGAAAGCACAGAAAGTTGGAAAAGTACCTCCAGTTTTTTGCCGTCTTCATCGTAAACGGACATGGTCACCTCGACGTTTTTGGGTGTCGTCTTACTCCCCTTGTCGAAATCCCCCTGAACCAGAGTCACGTAGATGTCGTTTCGGACGTCACCTTCAGGGAACAAAGATGAGAAAATCCATTGTTTTCAGTGGATATGGTGACATAAAACAAACATCTTATGTTTGTTTATTGGGAAAAAAACTAACATTTAAAAACGGCATACACTTTCTTTCAATTCTTCATATTTTTTTTGTTACAACACAACAGATGCACAAAACAACAGACATTAAAAAGAAAATGGTTATTTTCAGAATAATGAACCTGGCATGATTATCTCGGGGAAGCCCATCTTTCGAGCCACAGCCGTCGATCGATCCACCAGGTGAGGGAAGTCCTTCCTTATCTGATGGATGTCTCCTGGAAGTAGCTTCAGAGTCACCCAAAGACCTGATAATGCAATCAAAACAGGCAAAGACGTAGCGGAGATAAGATAGTGAGAGGATAGAAGACGTTCCCCAGGAAAAGGCTAAAAAAAACAAAAAAAACAGATTTCTTCCTCTAATTTCCACTGACAATTATCAGTGTGATATGTAACAGCTGTAGGGCAGGACGCTAAACAGAGTCTATCAGAAGAAATCTGATTAGAGAAATATAATAATCTAATAACTCAAGACATGAGAAAGTGTGTGTGTGAGTTTTAAGTTGAGTTCAAAGACTGACAAGAAAAGATGGGGATGACTGAAGAAGCCCACAAAAGCCAGCTGCTTTACTCCCTTTTACTTTGCAGAGTCTGTGTTGTTATGAGTGACACATCCCTTACTGGTGAAGCTGGAAACCCCTTTGATATGCCAGCATGACTGAAACAGCTGCTATCTGCTCTCTCTGCTGTTCTCCCCTCAGTGCGGGTCAGAGCAGACCTAGCATTTATCAGAGTACCATTTCATTGGGCATGGCAATACAGCGGAGACTTGAAGAGGGAAGCCCCTTCCTTCCTGCGGCCCGGATCCCTGAGATTAGCTTAGGCAGCTCCACCAAGAACAGACCCAACGTCGCCGAAGTCGGCTTGTGCTCACGGGAGATTCGCAACAATATTTTATAGTTTAAATGCGGGTATGTTAAAGTTAATATGAGCAGTCATTTAAAAAAAAAAATTAAAAAAAAATCTCTTACACAGGACATGGAATATTGAGGAGCATTTGCTGTCCATTTTTAAAGTAATTTCATGAGCATCGATACAATCCTGCTGTAAATAAAAACCATGTATCTGCAGGGACTTCATTTGTAATATTTGATTGGCTTTGAGAACTAAAGTCATTCTGGAACATTTATGGAACCAAAATAAACATAAAAAAAGAAAGAAAAAAAAAAAAACACACACAGACACACACAATATCCAAACCTCTGGAGGCACTTTTGACAAAGAATTTTTTCTAACTTTTCATTTCTCACAGTAATGACTCAAACCACCAAAGGCTGTAAAGCTTCTAGGCATAAACTGAGGGGACAGCAGTCAATAACAGAATGCTAATTGGCAGATTATAAAACAAATAATAATGCAAGTTGGTAAAAACAGTTTCGTACCCTCCGGTAGTTCTCCGTTTATACTTAACACATAAGTATATGAGGACTTCCACACAAACTCCAGTGACAGACAAGAGACTATTTCAATTCTCACGTTTACCCCACATACAACATAATCAACTTAGGTCATTATGTTATCGCTGTGAATTTAGTAATGCCTTCCCTACAACATTTTAGAGCAGATAATTGTTTTGGATTCAGTAGATTAGAAACTTAAAGCTCTGGAAAAAAAGAGAAGCTTTCTGACGTCGCCCTTCAAACACAAAAGCCTGTCGACTGTGACTGTGCGCCGGTCAAGTTAATATAAACAAACAAAAAAAAAAAGGTTCCTGCTCAAACAAAACTAGCAGATTATGCTGAACTGTGTCTGCATCCTGATTCTGCAATGCAGCGCTTATAGCATGCAGTCCAATGATTGTTGCAAAGCCCTTGGCTTTTTAATTTTTTGCTGTGAAATGGTGCTCAATATATGGAGGATAATGTATTTGAACCAAGTTCACTGGCAGCAGTGAGGTGATTGCTGCCAGTGCTTCCATTCAGTTTGTATGGAATACCTGTAAAGACAAAATTTGTGGGTTATGGGCCTCATTCGCAATGTCCTTCAGTGGAAAGCAACCAATGATGTTTTTTATCTGAAGTCATAATAACGGATCTTTCTCCTTCAACTAAATCGCAGCAACAATAAAAAAAAATAAAAAATACAACACTTTATCATCTTTACCAAGCAAAACAGGTGAATACCTCATTAAAACTTCCACGCTCTCTAAAATTAATTTTCACAAAATAATTATTTTCACTTCTACCCAGGTTATAAGATAGGACTAATTATCATTATAAACCTGGAACTAGTTCATGATTTCAGTTTTAGCTAGAAAATGACAAAACCAATAAAACTTACATTTTCCAGTAGGAGGATGAGTGCGTGTGTGTGTGTGTGTGTGTGTGTGTGTGTGTAAACTTTTCACTGTACCTTGGCCTTTGTGATTGACTTCTTTGGCGGTGATAACTTTGTTGATGACTGTCTGCAGGAAGTCGTTCTCCCCTGCCACCCTGGGTGAAAAACGGGAGATGTTCAGCTGCTTGTGGCGAATGGCATCATCCAACGCCAGCCTGCAGTACATACACAACGGGCAAACACCACGGGGAGGAGCAAAAAGACGGAAGAAGAAAGGCAGAGGAGGAATGGGTTGAGAAGAGGTGAACAAATTGGCGGGAGGGAGAAGAGAAGCGAGATGAACGAGAGGGAGAAAAAGAGACACACACCAAGGAGTGATGTGGATAGTATGACAGCAATAAAGTCACTTGTTAGCAGTAAACGGTCAGCAGAACGGGTAGAGATAGAGAACATTTTAATTTGGGGAGGAAGACCCCTGGCGAAAAATAAATACAAAGTATGTTAAATTTCAGCATACTTGAGCTTACTTTAAGTCAGATTAATCATGAGTATACTTCAAGTTCGCTTAGGTCACTTGAAGTGTGACATTTTGGAACAACTAATTTGTGCTTAGTGTATTTTAATAGTATTTAAATTATATTAAAGCACAAGTTAAAGTGTACGAAGTGTACTTTCACGTACCTTTTTGGAACAACTAAAGTTAAACTTGGTATACCTTAAGCATATTGCTTTTTATGCAATATAAAAATGCTTGATTAGTATATTTTGAGTGTACTATTATTGTGGTTGAATTAGATTTAAAATATATTTAGAAGGTATTTTAAGTATATTGGCATTACATATTTTATACGTTATCGCAGTATGGTACAATTACACTTTTGGTTTATTATAATTGCTAATTAAGTACACTTTTTAGCTACTTGATGTCTTTTACTATTCTTCATTGCCACTTTGTACATTACATGCTTCATACACAGTCTGTCCTCCCCCAATGTGTTTAAAATGCCAAGAGATGGACTATGTAGTTCATAAGATTCTCATGAAGCCAGAAAGCAGAATGGAAGAGAAGAAGTGCTAATGTTGGAATGGAAACACAACAGTGAATGCTGTCATTTAGGCCCGAGACTGAAGACATCTCTCTATTTTGGTTTTCACCTCATCTCGGCGTGAAACGCCACCCAATGGACATTAATGCGGTCCTTCAGAAGGTCGGAACAAATCACTACACAATACATCAGCACGTATTTATATATTCATGCAATGAATTTCTGTGAATCTAACCTTTTCAACTGGATTACTGTTGTTTTTGTGTGTGTGTTTTTTAAATAAAAGGTTGGTTAGAAAAGCAGACCGTACAAATAACAGTGAGGGAGTGCAGTGTCTACGTAATATTTGCTTGCAACCATGGATCAATCTCAGAAATATGCAGAAATATACTCCTCCTTCACATTTTCGAAGAAGGAGTTGGTCCTTTCTGCTTTGCTATGAACATTATAAAGGTACAAATCAACGAAGGTTTGTTTTAGCAATGCAAAGTTCAGAACTGCTAGAGTCAAACATTATATATATTTTGTTCAAACTTTAACTTCACATTTTACAGTAAGTACTTGGACAATGGCCGGATGTCAGGATTCTAAATGTGAGAGAAAACATTGTCCAAAGCATTTTACCATGTCACCTGAGTCAAGTTTTTTTTTTTAAGCTCATGGCAACATTTAACCAGTTGCCAACTTTTGTTTGCTAGCCCGTCTGTTTTCGTGAGAACCCACAAATCATTGTTTTGGTAGGTCCGATTGTTAAATTAAACTACTTTTACTGACTCTGGCACTGGTCCACTTAAATTTGAGCAAGTAAAGAAATAAATGAAAAAGCAACTTTTTAAAATAAAAACACATTTAGCACAGCTGTAATAAAAAAAAAGCAACATAAAAATAACTTTCCAATAAAAGGCTATCTTCCTCTGCTACTTCTAAGCTTTACTGGCAACCTGTCAAGGATGCTCCCTGTTACCGTGGAGATCACAAAATGTTTTTCTAGAACTCCATTACCATTCCTGTGTAGATTACTGTAGCCCGTGTTATTACTGCAACTAGGTCTTTCACATAGCGAACATATATAATAATACTTTGTGGCACCAGGCGTTTTATTCAGTGACTAAAAATCTAATTTGGTCATAAATTATTCAATCATCAAGTAAAAAGATTTCTTTGGACACAATCCCACAAAAACAGTGGCAGTTAACAAGATTACCTTAATTATAATGGGATTTGGGAGATCTTACAACACCTGGTGTCAAAGATTCAAGATTTGAGAGAAACATGTAAATGCAGCTACTAAAACTCTGAGATTTTACATATATATATAAACAATTAAATGAAAAGCAAATCAATGTTTGTGGCAAAAAGCTCTTACGGCTGGAATGGGATGAAGTGCTGCTTGTCCTCGTCGTCCATTTTGCCTGTTATGATGTCTGTAACATCCATTACTGTAAAAACAAACATAAAAACAAAGAGGTTTGGAAACTTTTAAGGCGAGGATGAGGTATCATAGGCATGCAAGATAGAGATAGTTGCACTGTAAGTCTGCGTGGGGAGGAAAAAGCACCCATAGATGATCTCAAATTACTTACAAAGCACCACAAAAAACGACTTCGCTGTGAGGAAAAAATGAACTTTTGGACATTGTGCTGCCTTTCCAATTGAACATGCACCTTTTTCTTAGCTGATTCTTCCTCCTGAACAAAACAGAAAGAGCTACTGCTGCAATGAACTGTGTGTACCGGTTTTGCCTTCTCGTCCAACAGAAAGTACTTCTTGTTCCCTGCCTTTTTGTATGCATGCGTTACTTTTCTGAGTAGATCAAATTATACAGTTACTTTTGCCAAAGCAACTGACTCAGCGTTCGCTACCTTTATGTATTTGTTATCTGTGTTTAGTTGCATGTCTTTCCTGGACAGAGGCATTGCCAGAGGATGTTCTCTGTGATTTTAATCACAATAAAAAGTACTCTTGATCCGTCTCTTTTCTGGACAGAAGCTATTCTTCCAGTTACAATGCTTGCTCCTTTTGATTTCCGTTTCCCATAGAAAGCACTACCAGCCCCATGCATCTGTGTTCAGATAAGTCCTGGAAAAGAGTTACTGACAAAGTTATTGTTGCCAGAATGTGTGTACTCTTTTTTTTTTTTTTTTTTTTTTTTGTAGGTGGGTTTATTCCGGTGTCTGCTTCCTGAACAGTATCACTAACAAAGTTATTGTTCCAACAGGCAGTATGTACTCTCTGTTTTTATCTTCTTTAGAAAGCACTCTTGGCTCAGCACTTCTGCGTTTTTCGTCTCTCTTTCTTGGACAAAGCCATTGACAAATCCATTTCTCCTATTAACATTGCTTACTTTTTGTCTTCTCTCCCACAGACAGTTCTAATCGAACAGTGATTTTTTTTTTTTTTAATTGCTGCTCGGTTGGAGGATTCTGACTCGCCGCCGTCGCCACATGCTTGCTCAGAATGAGACGTTTCAGCATCAGACAAATCAGTCCGATCAGTTGAGATTTGACTGCGTCGTCTCAATGCAGTCAAATCTACGTTACCGTCTTAGCTGGACAGTATGTAGTGGAATGAAATCAACGACTGATTCAAATTCAGTTCGGACCATTTTGGACTCCATTTACCTGGTGTATAAGTTTGACCTGCTTGTCCTGTAAAGTGTTTTCTGAAGGGCTTTCTACGGAGGAATGAAAAGTACAGAAAAGACGCAAAAGGTCAAGCTGCACTTTCGACAATGTCGTACAAAAAACAAGTGGACTGATGTCACACAGCTACAGAGACGTCTCCCCCGATTCCACAACAAGAGATGCATTAAGAAAACCATTGCTTTTAGCAGAGCTTGAAAAAGCCCTCAGTATTTTACAGAGAACAGGGGGCACATTATTGACGTCTGTGCAGCTTACAGATGATGTGAATAAGAAACGACACTAGGATGACCTCACATTTACTCCACTGCCCAAGAGGCTACGGGACATGCACATAGAGCTTTTATAACTAATGGCAAAGCAAGGCACAGCTATTAAAACAGAAAGAAATCTCCATGCTGTGCACAGTTGTAATAATGTTGTCTAAAGATAGGCCACCAATAAATCAGCTTGTCATTTACCTTCCCTTCAAGACGAATTGGGGAGGAGAAGAGGAGAGAGGGAAAAACACTGAAAGAGAGACATCATTTTCTCTGTTGGACAACTGTGGGCTAGACGCCAATCTCATTAGTTTACTATACACCTGGAGGTTTGCCAACAAGGGATTAAAAATATATATATAATTCTTTCTTCTCTACTTCAGCAAGGTCTCTGAATTTTAGCCAAAAATATTTACTCAGTCAGGCAAGGACCGAATGCACCACACAAATTATTCACAATGAGGTTAAAAAGACGCGTAGTGCATAGCACACCCAATAAAGAACTGCTACAATAACAGCTCTTCCTGGTCTCTCTCTCTCTCCTAAAAGAGTGTGGTAGAAAACATTGCTTTTTGGGCTGATTGCCAATGTGAGGAATCACCAAGACCTCCAAGCAAACCGAAGCAGAACCAAGAGCCTTCCAGACTCGGTGACCTTGCGGCTCAAACAACGCCTGTCTTCAGATTTCCCTGCCAGCTAAACTTCAAGACGGCAAAGTAGGAACTGCGCATTCAGTTATGCTTGTTATTAAGCAAACTCCCCGATTCTGGACCACAGAGGCACTCTCTTTTCTTGTTCTATATGATGGCAGCTCTGGTACAAGAAGCTGACAGTTCTGCTTTACATAATGAGAAGGAAAAAAAAACCAACAACAACAAATGAGCAAAAACATCACATTGCAGTGGGAACACAATGACAGGTTGAAAGACAGACAACACTTTATGATGTTCCAGTTATCAAAGGCAGCTCTAAGCAAATGGGTTTTTAGCCTGATTTAACTCGGTCTTTCCTGGAAGTTTGTCTCGGAATAGAACTGAGCACTGCATCTTCATGTTTGGTTCTGATTCTGTGCAGAATAGAACCAGAAGACCCGAGTGGTCTGAAAGGTTAATCTGGCAACAACCGATCTTTAATGTACCTCGGAGCCAAGGCATTCAGTAGTTTATAAACTAACAAACATGTTTTAATCCAAAGTGACATTAAATACCAGCTTATTTCAATTTAAACATTGTAAACTGAAGTGTAATTCTTTTTTTTTTTTGATTAGTGCTTAAAAAGTCTTAATGTACAAAATCTCCCTATATTTTTACATTAGAGGGGGAAAAAGTTAGTTAGACATAGCTTATTAATGGTACAGAGACACAACACAATAAGTAGAGAAAAGCCATTGTTCTGAGTGTTCAACTGCGTTTTTTTTTTATTACTTCAATTAGGTCTCCACAATATAGTCATCATAATATCAGCGTGTGCAAAGGAATGTATGGAGTGCAATCATTTCTGGCTCGGGATTTCCAAGTGTTATAGCGCTGTTTTTCATGCGAATGTAATATTTAATCAGTTGGACACAAGCTCATGTTGCTCACGTTGAACACACAAGGTGTTGCATTAAATGCTGAATCTGACAGATACCATGTAGCTTCAGTTTACCTGCTACTCCAAAGGGTCTTCTCAGGCCTGAAGTCAGCTTCTTGGTGTTGTTGTCCCGCAGCTCCATACGTCCCACTCTGACAATCTGACACACAAAGCTGATCTTCTCTCTCTTTAAATCTTCACTGCCCAAGTCCTGCAGAGGAAGAACATTTCAATAAAGCATGAAAGGCAGACGATGCCTTCCTTGCATTAGGAGTCTCAGCAGAACGACTTTCTGTATGTCGCCATGAGAGAAATGCATATAAATGTTTGAGCTCGGTCACAGATCAATCAATTTAACTCCCAAAAGTGTTCACACCGTTGTAAAACAGCCAAACATTTCGGCAAAAAGTGATTTCAGCTACTTTTGAGAATGCGGCAAAAAATTTGTTTCCTTTGAGGGGTGTCGACCAAAACCAGCAGAGTCGCTTTCAGCGCGTGCACGCCGACGCTGCTGCAGTTGGGCTTCCATTAGACAGAGGCGACTGCCTCAGAAAATACATATAGCAAGTCTTGGTCTTACTGAAAGAGTGTAACAAACACAGGCTCTCTGCAGAGAGGCTCCCAATTGCCTCATAACATGGCTGAATAAACAGAACTACAGTCGGGCGAGCGCATGGACACGCACACGCACAAACGTTCACGTAGCCAAACACACTCACCGTAAAAACCGCCCGCAGGTTATGAAGCTGGTCGATGTCTTTCACCAGGCCGGAGCTCGACCATTTCACCAGGTAGTTCTCACTGTGAGTGACAGACGAGAAAAATAATAATAATAAAAAAAAAAAACATTTCAAATCTTCCCTCCAACGGAAAGTCAGACTTTTAAGAGCTTAAAACTGTTTTTGACAAGCAAAGTGTTTTGCAAAAGTATGCATGATTGAGTTTCAATGGATTTTAGTGTGGTTTAAAAAAAAAATATATATATATCATAAAGTAGTGGATAATGGTAAAATAGAAAGAAAATGGTTCAAATAAAAACCTAAAAATATTGTGTTAAGCCCCATCAAGTCCATACACTGAACCTCTTTTTAGACAAAATATTTTAAGATAAGCCAGCTACCAGCTTTGAAACATCTAGAGATCGAAATCCTGACATGTTCTTTTTGGCAAATGAGTTGAAACTGAGTCAAACTGAATGGACAGTACTACTTTGACTAGGCCATTTGTAATTGTCACAGTCCTGCTGAAAAACATTTACCTCTGCTCTAGTCATATCTTTGGTTGCCTTTAACAGGCTCTCTTTAAATATCTCCCTCTATCTATCTCCATTCATCTGTCTTGTCACTGCTGAAGAAAAGCATCCCAACAGGACGATGCTGCCATCGAAATATTTCACCATCCAGATGGCGCATTTAGGGTGATGTGCAGCTTTATTTCTCCAACTAAAACTGCACAGGACCATTGAATTTATGCTGAGATTAAACTGCACACTTCATTTTCAAACTAAGTAAAGGCAGTTGATTCAACTGGATTTTACTTCAGAGGATCAAGAGAAAGAAAGACTGAAAACAAATCCATGGTACACTTCTCAGATCAGTTTTACTTCCACTTTACATAGCTTATTAATGAGCCGCTTTGTATTGGTGTAAAATAGTGTTTGAATGGCACATGTAAAATGGAGCACTTCAACATGGAAATATAACATTTCCAACATGCAAAAATGTAGAAATGTTGTAATTCATTCTTAGGAGTCAGTTTTAGAAAAAAAAAATATGGGTCAGAGTTTTACCATATCAAGAAACTGGCTACAAAACTGCCAGCGGTTTTTTTTTTTTTGTGTTTGTTTGTTTGATCTGCAAAGATCAATTTGGCATGGGGAAAAGAAAAAAAAATCAAGTTTCCACATAACATTTCCCAAGGGATCCTTATCTTGGGTTTAGCAATGACTACCAAATTATGCATTACTGTTGCGTAAAATTTAGGACTGATGATAAATGCAAAAAAAGAAATGTCCCACTGAGCTCCTCTAATCATACAACTTTGATGTCAAATCCTTGGAAAAAAAGGAAAAAAAAAAGTAAATCTTTCGACTGCAGGGCTCAACTGATGCTGTTTTGACAAGGACTGCGCACATAAATTAGAAGAGAAAACGAAAGACAGAGGAGGAATGTGTAACCATGTGAACTTATGGGATACCTGATAAACTTTGACTCCACTGGATCATACAGGGACATGAGCACCTCTGCATCCTCACCAATCTTACACACCACATTCTTCAGAGTCACAAAGAGGGCGAATGCCGGAGTGGAGGCGAACTTCGCTTGCCTCGTGAGATCAATATTCTGCTTCTGAGACTGTCGGAGAAACAGAGGAGCGGCTGTGAATGTTGGGTTTTCCTACCAAACGTGTGCAGTTGAGACTTGGGGCTCTGCTGTAGTTTAATGATAAAAAAAATAACAAGCGTGAGACTTACAAAAATGATTTCATTCCTGAAAAAAATAATCAGCCAGAATTCAGTATTAAACACCGTATAGAAAGTCTTTAAAGTCACATAATCCGCTGTGGCTTATCTATAGTAAAATAGCCTACTATGTGTTACTTTGAATACTCATCTAAAGTGTGCAAGAACCTGATCGTTAAATATTTATCAGGTCAACTAAACTAGCCAGTAAAGAGCTATGATTGAAAATGTAAGATGAGGGACCACATGAAAGCGGGGCGCGTTGTCTTTTAGCGCTCTGCGCACAACGCCACCAGGTGCTGAGAGCCACTGACCTGCCGAGAAAAGTAGAATGAGAATATGGCTGAGATTCAGTCTCTCTCTTACCTTTTATTTCTTTGTGGCAGGAGAAGCCACTCACTTTTCCCCACTTTTACACTAAAACGATGAGAGTGCCAAAAAAAACTCTGTTCCAGCCCGAACAACAAGGGAATCACAAAAAGTCCGAAGCCCTAAAAAGTTGAATGGCTTAAACACGCTGTTATGCATGATTTTTTCTTTTTTTTATTATTATTATTATTGCCCATTATTAATTTATGTTCAACATTTTAGGATCCCATTTATCAAATCATGGTCTCAATGAAGGAATTTTCAAATAACACGTATTGGTTCTGTGACTGAAGCTGACCTTATGATCCCTGTTGCTGGCAGTCTGTGATTTCAGTGTCAAACTTGACACGACCAGCATTTAAAAGAAAAAATGCTATTATATGAAATATAATAGCATTACAATTCTATTATATTTCAACTCCCGTTATTTTGTTGATCGAATGAGTCTGGATTTTCTCAAACAAATGTTTCGCATCTCTAATCCTGTTGTCACATTATATTCTGTATTGTCGTGTCTGCTGGCAAACAGAAACGAGAATTACAGACGTCCTCATAACGAAATATTAAATGCTGCGAGTGTCTTCAATTGGTCAGAAAATTTGAACAAATATATACTTTATTAGCTCATTTAAAAAATACAAAGTCACAGATTTATTACACAGAATAATACATTTCTTTTAGAAAATTAAAATGAGTTCATAACACAGAAATCTTTCATCCTACAGATACAGGTGAGGATCTAATGCTGACTTCTGAGTCCTAAATAAATAGATTGTGTTATGTCTTTAAAGTTACCGAGTTGTCAGCATTAACAATTTCTAATTACTGACAAAAACAAAAAAGCTAATATTAAATGTGTTCTTGTTGGGAGAGAGGAAAAAGGCTAAAATTATTTCATTGTGGTAGTTCCAAATTATAATGCAAAATCATTCAGGATGCAATCACAACCTGAATGATTTTGGTTTTTAACACCGTTTTATGCAAGGGGTAAGGATGTGTTAGCAAAGAAAAAAAGAAGGGAGCAGATGAGTACCAATGTGATTTGAAAGATCATTTTTATGTTCTTATCGATCCAATTTTTTTTTTTTTTTTTTTTTTTTTTACCAGTAATTTAAATTGCTCTGTACTGTATTGAGAAAATGTCCTGTTACATAAGTTGACAAAAGGTCTTTTTTGGGGTGGGGTGGGAAATTGAATAGAAAGAGGAAAAGAATCATGGACAATAAGAGGGGAAAAGAAGGTGTAAGAGGCGTCAGGACAAAGCAAGTGAGAAGATGAGACAGGTGATGGAGACCTAAGAGAGGTGAGACTGAAGAAGCAGTCTCCACGGCAACTCTGAACATCCTATTTCTGAACATGTCATGCATTGTCTTTTCTTGCTTACATGAATGCAAAAAAAAAAAATCTTTTTGTATGAACTCTAGAGTACATGTTTATCTTAAAAAATGCATTTCAGCAGTAGCAGAAGGATAAGAGGCTTAAGGGAGCTTTTTATGCTAAAGTTAAAGAAAACGTAGATATTTTTGTAGATGCACAAGCTGGCCTCCACACCATAAAACTAAATAGAAGGAGAATAACTCTTTTTTTTTTTTTTTTTGTGATTTAGCCCATTTTCTACTTTTTACTTTTAAAAACCTGGTGTTCCATTGTTGTAGCTGAACAGAATTGTAGCCTGACAACAACCTGCATTGTCTTTCTCAAGATATATCTGGGTTCTCTGTAAAGAGTCTCGGCCAGTGAAAATGCTTAACGACAGCATCCAAGTTAGTCCGGTTTTATTCAATGCTACCATCGAGCACTGTGGGCTGGTAATAGTTCCTACCAACCTGTTCATGTTAACCTTACAGTCACAATGATGGCAGAATATACATCTATCAAAGTGAACTCAGGTAAATGAACTCGATTTACTGCTGGCTTGTTCTCCAACGCCGTTACAGAGATTCTTTAATTGTTCTAAATAAAAGAGCTTCCTCTTATTGCATGCCTCACAACATATTTCCTGCTAAGACTCGACACCAAAGCTTTTAAAAGCCGATTGAGAACATATTTCTAATGAGGAAAATGCCACACCGTATTAATTTACTAAGCAACTCACAGAAGTCCTTAACAGACGTTCTGAAGAAGATAAATATGACGGATTTCTTTTGCACCACGTTCGTTCTCTTTAAATTGGTTTTCGATTCAAGAGGAGGGCCACAATCCTCCCCTCTGCTTACCTTCTCCTCTTGGATCCGGTCCTCAATTTGTTTGGAGGCCGCCTCGTGTTCTCTGAATAGGCTGACGGTGCTGGTGAGCTCCGGGTCCAGAATGTTTCCATCTTTGTCTCTGACCACCAGATCAAGATCCAAGTATCTTGAATTGAATAAGAAAAAGGCGGCGAAACATTTTTTCAAAACGTGTCAGGACGAACGACAACAAAAAGGCAAAAACACGTGGGTGCACTTCTTTTGGGGAAAAACCAAACGGCGTGTAGTCACTGCGTGCTCCCAGTCAGTTCCCTTATTTGATGCTCATATAATTTTCCCCTCTGCTCCACTGTTTTCTTTCAAAGCTCGTCTGGCTTTTCTTTCTCCCTCCAGTGTTTCTGCTCCGGAGGGACTCAGCAGAGACAACAGCGGGCTGCCAACACGCACCTAATGGTTTTCTTTTTGAACACATCAGTATCTGCCTCTGCAGTGGCAAAAAGCAATATCTCTACAGGACCAGGATTTAAAGTTTCATCACAGCAGCAGAATGGAGCTCCACAAAACTCATTGCCAAACAATTTTGTTGTCTTACTGCAGACACAGTGAAAGTCATCACTTCGTGATGCAACACCCTGGAGTTTGCAGAGGCAGGCGTACAGTGGCTTCCTACAGTTGCATCTTAATGAATATGAGCGTTACTGAAAAGCTAATTTGTTTCGGAAATGTTAAACATTTTCAAAGTAATATGCAATTCTTATTTTCTTCTGAAAAGAGGAATTTGGACAGCTGAGCAAGCTGTTTTCTTGTTTTCATTAAGCATTTTTCCTTCCACTAAACTTTCCATTAATATGCTTGGATACAGAACTGTGAACACCGAAGTGGTTCATTTCTGCAATAAATGTTTAGATTTTTCTACTTTTATGTAATATTTAAAGTTTCTGACCAACTAAATTTGGGATTTCCATTAACTGTACTCCATAATTATTGAAATTAATAGACATAAACAAATTAAATATATCCTTCTGTGTGTAAACAATCTATATTGTATGGCTTTCACTTTTTTTTAATCTGAATTATAGATTAACGTTTCAAAGATATTCAAATGTAGTGCCATACACCGCCACTCCAATGAAGCACATTTTCCAGGAAGCTATGTGCTAATTTTTTACTTTCTTCTGAAAAGAGGAATTATAATCCAGGACAAGTGGAGGCTAAAATCCTTAAGACGAAACGCTTACTTGTTGCCGTAGTCTATCTTGGAGGTGACCTTCTGTTTGAGCTCAGTGAGCTCGTCCTGCGGGAGGGTGCCAGACAGGATCTGTGACCGCCATTCGATGAGGTCGTAGATCATGTCTCGGACACAGTTGAACATCTCGCGCTTGTCCCCCTTTTAGACAGAATGTTGTACAACTATCAGACATGAAGAAACGACATGCCAAGACGTACTAAATCTCAACAGCAGGTTAGCCACTCTGTGCTTCATTTCTGCGAGGACATCATGCAATATATTTATGTCAAAACTGGTACAGCCTGACGGATATTGGCACCATTTTTTTTTCTTTTTTTAGAAAGACAAACATTTGCTGTCTCTGTGTCCTTCACCGATGTGCATTAAGTCTGGTTTAAAATTTCTGGGGAAAAGGATAGAACTTTGTCATTTACTTCAAAAGTTATGCATATATTCAGTTTTACATTTTGCATAATGGTCCAAAATTACTTAAATCTAACCTTCATGTACAAGAAACAAGCAAACAAAATAGATTAAGCATTTCCATTGTTTCGTGCAAAACAAAAACACCCAAAATCCATATTTAAAATGCTGCGTGTGGAAAAACAAAGTACATCTTTGGTGCTTCAGTGGGATTTATGAAGGAAAGGAAAAAAACACAATTATCAGCAGGGATCTCCATAGATATAAAAGCAGCTGCTACTTGCATCTGCAGCATAAGAGTAGTTCCTATAAGCTCCAGAGGACACATTTATATTCTCACACACAATGGTGGAAAACATCAGCGAGGAACTTATAGAAAAAAAAAAAGATTGCTTCCCATCAATATGAGATTATTTCTGAACAATATGACCAAGGAATATGCAGAGAAATCCCCTGGTGAACAGAATTGGACAGCAAAAGGTGTCAGAAACTCACTTTAGGACTTTCTGCACTTGTTAATCTTTTGATGTTTCAACCTTTGCTGTGGTATATCCACATGTCCTGGATATGGAAAACTTAACATTCTTTTGAATGCACACTGTCGTTTTTGTAATGCCAACCACAATAATTTGGCTACTCGTTAATATAAGACGCTAAGCAACTAAATTAAAGTTTGTCATTCTACAGCAAAAATGCTTATTCACAAGTGAAAAGAAGAAGACAATTGCCATTCTTCCTCAAAGTGAGATGCTGAAATAAAAGGAAAAACATGTATATATAGAAGGGCTGTTTCTACAGGACTCCGTTAGCATGCTAAATTGTTCAGTCACTGTAAAGTTAGAAAAACATTTCATTAATGTTGCTATTTTTGGAAGGACTGTGATTAGAAAGTCTGTCTTCTATGAAAAGAATACTGCAATTATAATTAGCTCCTTGTGTGCTGAAAACAAACTGCAGCACATCAGCATAAACACAGCAACTACCGTGCACAGCGGTAGAGGGGTGATGATGCGCCTTGCATTGAAATAATGTGTTTTTACAGATGAAGTTTGGTCAAAACAGAGACATCAACAGGACAATCATTGAGAAACTCCTAATCAAATGTATTTAAAAATAGCTGAAAAAGCAAACCACCAAAATACCCAGTGGCCCAGTCAAAGTCCAGATCCCAACTTGATCAACATGTTATGGTGGGACCTTTACAGAGCTGTGGCTAAAGCTTAATGAAATGAATCAATGTTATAAAGAAGCGTGGATCTTAATTCGAAAGGTGTTCTTTGTTTTTCAACCACATCTTTTTTTTATATATATTATGGCTTCATCTCTGTTTAATAGATAATGAGAGAGGAATCTGCTGTGTTTCGTACACTTGATGTTTTACTTAAAAAATAATAAAATAAAAAAAAACACAGAAAAAAGTCCAGATTCAACAAACTGATACAAAATGTCCCAGAGCAAAAAGAGAGTGTATCTTTCGTTTTCCAAATGTGAGTGAGTGAGTGAGTGAGTGAGTGAGTGAGTGAGTGAGTGAGTGAGTGAGTGAGTGAGTGAGTGGGTGGTAGGATGACTCACCACATACAAGTCCCTCCATATTGTAGCCCACTCCCGCAGCGTTGTTGTAACCTCCTGAACCAGAGGCAGCTCAGTGGGAATAACAGTCTCCTTTTGCCTGCAGTAACAAAGAATGGACAATCCAACTTTATTCCCTTAAAACCAACGACATGTGAACTCAGGAGGCACGTCAAACCCGTGTTGGATTACATCTTAGTCTCAGTTAATATCTGACTTAATCAATAAGACATCTAATCCTTTTTGAAATCAGCGAATATATGTTAATCCAGCTTTCTTTTAGCCACTTCAGCTTTTAACTTCTGTCTGTCGCGAAACAAGCTGAATTTAGAAATATGGGTGACTTACACTAAGGATCTACATTTTCAATTACTGCCATTGCCTGCTATTATAGGAATGCTACTCTTGCTAACTGCTACACTAGTATACAATGTACATTTTTTAAGACTGTTTAAAACCTCAACACCTCATGGGAAAAAAGGCAAATAAAAATATTTTGAGTTCTACCTTTTATGCTCTAGTATTCTAATCACCAAGCAAAACTGGGAAATATCATCGTTTGAGATTGGAAATCCCCCCTCATTATGATTTCCAATAGATATGATTTTATAAATGGCAAGATTTCTGATCACAGGACAACCTTGTATCGACATCTGATGGTAAAGATACTGACCCACTGCCTTCGACTGTGGCATCCTTTAGGTGGATGTAGCAAGCAGGAAATATGCCCTGCAATAGGAAAGTAAGAAATACGTAACACTGTTTTACAGAAATAAACACTAGAATTGTAACAAATTATGTCACAAAGGAATCAAAGTCTTTGTTTATCAGTCACTTACCTTTTTTGATTTTCTCCTCAGCCTGTATCCTCTGTACCAGGCTAGTGAAAAGCAAAAATAATACATTTTGTTTTCAACATATAAGTAAGACTAAAAAATAAACTTCAACACAACACAATGTGTTTTTAATAGCCAATCAAGAGTTAGAATAACTTAACAGGAGCTGAACTGAACTTTCTTTTTACCGAGATTGCAAAAGGCCTTTATACAAAAACCCAGCTGACAATGTAGAAGTTATTAAACAGCATTTCTCTCCACCAAGGTTGTGAACGTTTCAAATTAAAACTATTTGCAAAAGTCTGAAAAGAGAGTGAAAAGCTACTCAATATTCATTTCCAGGTTGTCAGCTTTCATCAAGTGTCAGTTCTCACCTTCATGTGTCTCAAGTATGTGCACCGTGTCTCCGATCTGCAGTGACAGCTCCTCTTCTCCCCGGGCATCGTAGTTATAGATTGCTTAAGAAAAAACAAACAAAAAAAAACAAAAAAAAACAGAGGACAATATATGAGAAAAGGAGAGGTGCAGGTAGAGGAAAAAGGCAATAAAGTATTTGGCTCCCTCGAGGCTCCAAATGTGTGCCGCTGCGATGTGTAGTAAAAGTTAGCGCACGTTTACACGACATGCACCCACACTCTGTGACACAGTGTGGTGGTTGGGTGTAGCACCAGTTTGAGCTGTGACATCAACACACTTCCACCACCTACTGCAGAGAAATCAATGCTAGAGAATGATGTCAACAACAACACTGATGACAAAGACAAAGTTACCTGAAGCAAGACGAAGCAAACAAAACATCTGATGGCAATCTGGACTGTCTCCAGACAATAGTATACAATACTTGATTACTTTTTTTTTTTTTTTTTGTTTATTTAGTTTTTTTTATTAGCCATGCAGTAGAAATTATAATAACCTAATGTCTTACGGAGCATCTTGCTTTTATAGACGCTGTGCTTTTCATTTCTGGATCTTAAGAGAAAAATCAATATGCAGTCATAATAAAAAGCAGTTTGTTTACAAGCACCTTCAGCCTGAGCATTGTTTTTTTCAAGACGATACTGTAAAAGAGCACTGCAAAAATTTCAGTCCAAAAAAATAAAAGTGATGCACTAGTCAGTCAATTCAGAGATTTGAATTGGGCAATATTCTCTCGATTGGTGATTGGGAGGTGAAATACCAAATAAATAAATAAATAAATAAATAAATAAATAAATAATCTATCATTCTGTTGAATAAATCTGGTTTCAGTTTGTAAATCCATCAGCAACAGCAATTACCTTTCATCCAAGTTTTTGAGTTTAATGAAAATCCAATAAAAGGTCAAGGATATAAGCTACGACACATAATTAAGAATGATTTTGTAATTCCTTAATTTTATACTGGAATCAAAACTATTACTTTTACTAAAGAACCCGAATGTAATGTTTCTTTACATTCTGTTTCTTTTCAGAATGTAAAGAAACACTGAAATAGATATCGGTCAGGAAAAGCTGATCAGTTCTTCCGTATATACAAGTCAAAAAAAAAAAAAAACAACTACATGAATGTGGGACCATTTTAATACATGACACAATTAAAATGACAATAATTATAAATATTTTTCAAGCATCTGATCACAGGTGCAATTGGAGACAAACAGTTTAAAAAGAGGGCAAGTTTATTAAACGAGAAAAATAATTGATGTGCACATATTTCATTGATGATCACTTGAGACATTTAGGTCTAGATTTTAGACAGTTACCAAAAAAAGTAAAAACGGTGGCTTGACATGCAAAGTGAGCTACAGCAATAATAACACAGCGCGAAGGTTAATATGCAAGCCTAACATCAAATCCTGTCTGTATTCAAGGACCTCCACTGCAGCAGAGAAGCTGGATGAGTAAGGCACAAAAGTACCAATTGAGGTGCATGTAATGAAGCTGTAACAGAAAGAGGAGGAGGGCTTTAGTTCTCGTGGTAAAAGGAACACTATTATGCGTGAGGGAATTACAGGGGGGGTAAAAAGCCTCTTGAATGTGATATAAGAACCATACAGAGTGCATTAAAATCGAGACAATGCAGAAAGAAGAATATGTGAGCAGAAAAGTAACCAAATAAGCATCTAAATGAAGGCATCAGTGTCCTGGTGTGGGAATGCACACTGAGCCGCTTGAACCGAGGTTTCCAGAGGTGAATGACTGCTTAATTTAAAAAAAAAAAAAAAAAAAAAGATCATAGCTTCAGGCACTGCAGCCTTCCCAGCAGGTTTATCCTGCAAGTGTATTATCCATTTCCCCCCTCCAAGAACCACCTGCCACTTGAAGTGCTCATTACAGTTCATTAGAGACGTCAGGTGGGACATGCCATTCTTTTTGGTTCCCACTAGCTCTAGGGGGCTTATGTCTGACAGCCATGCAAAACAAAGTCTTTCTGCTTTTTGTTGCCGCTGGACTCCAAACCGTTTTATGCGTCTTGCTCCCACACAGGAAATTTAAAAAAAAGCGTGTCTTTTCCGCAGCGGATTCTTTCAGAACAAGACGTCAGTCAGTTCAAGATGCTAGTCGGTACAACTTTTAAAAGTCCAGTTGCTGAGACTCACTGACCAGCAGGACGGTTGAAAGTCACATTTCTATAGAAATATTTTATTGTACCGATAATTTTTTATTTAAGCAAATAAATAAATGCAAACTAAATTGCGATCGGTCATGACCGAACTTTAAAAAAAAAAAACCTGACCTGCATATTCCAATTTTAGTCAATTTCTTTGTCTGAAACGTCGCTAAATAGAACAAGAAAGTCGCTGAGTTGTTAACAGTTAACCTGGTGGGTGGGTTTGTCATGGCAGAGCAAAAGGTGACATTGGTTGATGTTCAGACCTTTCCTGAAGTAGATATAAATCGGTGGAAAAAAATCTGCTTCATATGCAAGAATCAGATGACCACAGACGTCCCAAAATGAAGGAGATCAGGGCCTACTTTAAACTCGCACCCCTACTTTAAACTTACAGCATTTGAGGGAAATGAAAAGCTACTAATGATTGTGTCTTTGGTTTGAAAGCTTCAACCAAAGATACTGACATTTCCCCCAATTCTGATCATCTTAAGAAGTTGGGAGAAGCCGTAAGAACAGCATTTTACTAATATTTTCAAGGTAAAGAAAAAATGTTATTCTGTGTTGACATTTTCAATTGCCTTTGACATCTCATGTTATAGAAAAGTACACAAATCTGTCTCGATCCAGGAGTCTGACGCAAAATGTACAAATCCAACACCTTCCAAGACAGACCGAGGCTGAACATAGGCTGTGCGATGTCAACTTAAAGTTTTATCACAATATTTTGTGGTAATGTTGTGATGATTGCTTTCCTTTTAGGCAGTCACGGCATGTCACAACATAATCTCTCTAGCTGCCTAATTAACAGCTCACCAACAACAATTTTTGAGTCTTACTTCCTCAGCAACAGCATCCACAACCAAACCATGTGTTACTGCACAGCATGTGGAATTGCAGAAGTCTTTGCAATATTAACATGCAATATTGCAGTTGCGAAATATCTTAGATGTCATGTTTGCTAATAATGTGCTTAGTCATTTGGGTGGAGTTTCACTGCCCTTTATGTCCGCACCAAAGAATATTAGTTACCAAGATCTGAAAGTTCAGACATCGTGGCAGGAAGACTTTAATAAAAGGACAAAAAAGTAAGTGAGGAAATGTTGTCATGGCAATATCCAATATCGGGACTCATTCATGGGAATGTTGGGTTGATGTACAGGGAGGAAGCCCAACAGGTAGATGGCTGTTAAACTGGTGGTGAACAAAACGTGACACAAAATTCCTCATCAATTGTGTGTTCATATCTATTTAAGCATTTTTTTACGCTAAATTTTGCTTGCATGCAAAAAAAAAAAAAGAAAAAAAAAGATGATTTGATCTATGTGGACTATTTAGCTGTCCATTTTCTGTGTGGCATAAAGAGAGCATGAAACGTGTCCGTCGCCTGTTAATTCAATGCTGTTGTTTTTGTTGTCCATTTTCACAAGCACATCCACAGTGCATTTAGTCGTCCCCAACAACAATCTAACGAGCCCGACGAATCCTCCAGAATGTGAGCCATTGGCTGACAGCAGAACAAAGACAACGGCATTCATTCCAGCTCCACTAAAACACAAAAGGTGCCTAGAAAGATAGAAAACAACAGAGCAATCAAAAGGGAGGTGGGATTAATCTGCATTGAATAGTAATGGCAGAATAGCCTCTCTGCAGCAGTGGTGACGATCAATTATTACCGTTTCTAGCTAATGCATGCATGCAAAGATTTTTTTTTTTTAATTTCATCACATAAAACTTTAACATATGTTGTAGATTTTAAAAAAAATTAAACCAACACAACACCTAAATATGAAGTGAAAAGTATACGAAATGTTCAAAATTATCTTACAGATGAATTTATGACGAAACGGGTTTCCATTCTGACTTCTTTACTCTTATTTTCCCTAAATAAAACCCCTGCAGTCAATTGCCTTCAAAAGTCCCTTAATCAGTAAAGGGAAGAAATACTGAGCGTATAATGTAAAACAAGCAGTTCTGTAAACACCTCATAGGACTGTTGGTGAACACTGGTGGACAAAGCATTATGAAGACCGAGGAAAACAGCAGATGTGCGAGGAAAGGTGCCCTGGTCAGAAAAGAGGAAGGCTGAACAGTTTGCTAGATGAACACACGCCAAACATCGCATCTTTACAGTGAAACACGGTGGTGTAAGCGTCATGCTAAAGGGATGGGTTCCTTTAGCAAACAGGGAAGCCAGGACAACAGCAGGAAGCTGCAAAGGACTCGAGACTAAAGCAGAGGTTCACCTTTCAGCACATGCACAGTGCATTTAGTCGTCCCCAACAACAATCTAACGAGCCCGACGAATCCTCCAGAATGTGAGCTTTATGTTTAAGAATGACCTCTTAAACATAAAGCCAGAGCTACAAAAGGAAAGATTTAGATCCAAGCATTAAAAATGGTCTGAGAATATTTGGCAAGAATCTATATTCCATCCGCTGTGATTGAGGCTTTATCAATTCGGAAAGAAGAGGAGGTAAGTATTTCAATTGCTGAAATCTTGCAAAGATCCAAAGCATGTCAAAAGAATTCGACCCGTAGCTGCAGTAAAACCTTATTCTCCAAAATACCAACTCGGTCGGCTGAATACGGATGCTCTGCAGACATTTAGAATTTTATTAGAAAATTTTCATTTTCCTTCCTCTTCACAATCATTGCTACTTTGCGTTTGTCTATTACATAAAATCCCAATAAAGTTTGTGGTTGCCTGGTGACAACAAGTAATAATGTTCAATGAGCGTAAAGATATTAAAATCAGCTTGAAAATCACAGTGCTTGATTGAAGCCTGGACAAGTTCGTCTGATTTTTTGCATGTTATCCAAACGGCAAGACGAGCTCTGGCAAAAAAACAGAACATGATAAAACGCC